GGAACATCGATCCAAGATGCTCCAAGAATCAGGTTCTGTACATTTCTGGACCATGAATGGCCATGTTGAATCATCCCTGAGGCAAAAAGATAGGACAAAAAATGGAAAAAAGAGAGAGGAAGATAGACGAAGTCTCTGTGTCCTTTTCAGTTTTCTTACTCAACTTGAAGCAGAAACTTCATCCCAAAACATGTCTGTTACTGTGTGCATGTGGGTGGGTTGGCACCTCTCATCACATTGCTTCAGCGGACTGATATGACAAGGTTACATGTCCTCATGAGCACCAGGTTCCCGACAATCCGTCGAAGCAAGGATTTCGAGTGCCTTTCGATCTCAGACCACAGTCGATCACACACTACCAATGTCAATTTGTAGCATTCCTATCTGAAGATACCGCCGCGCCGCGCCTAAGAAAAAGAAGTGGAAGAGGCAAAGATACAACAACTCGACTGAATACAAACAAAGACAACGAACCATGAGACAAAACCAACGAAATTTAAACAATAATACTAATTCTAATGCAAAAAACAATATAGAGGTGATGTTCGTCTCAGTCCAACCGCGGACTGTTCCGAGCTCAAGAGATGTGGAGATTTCGGAAGCATAAGTCACCATGTGTGGTCCACGGCCGGACCATACCCAAAAGATTTCACAAAAATGTTTCGAAAAGTGGGATGAAAGATGATGAAAGCCAACTGAGCCAACTTTTCCTGCCTTAGCAGGCCACACGGCAAAGGTTTCTGCCGTAGACTGCAGGGGCAACGTTCACCTCAGGTTGCAGGAATATCAATCTGGGAATGGATTTAATATAACATGATTAAACCACCCCTAACGGTCAAATCTTGTGGAATCTGTCTGTGGAATCTAGTCGCGCCAGGTTCCGGGCTGCTGGAGCGGCTCGCGAAATCCAAGGGCCTGTCATCGGTGTGTTTAACTTGAAACCAATATTTCGCTCCACACCACACACCACCATTCGCGACAGGAGCCCATTCACCTTTCAGGAGTTTCCAAACCTCTTAGTGGATTGAGTCTCCATACAATATCATTTCATTGTTCGTATTTCTGCTCATATGCACGACACACACCATGCACATCACTACGCTGTGCATTTCGGCTCTACCCCGGGAATGCCCGAAATAGCCTCCACAGCGAGGAACCATCGACGCCCTGCCGCATCACACAGGCATCGGCAGCACTGACTGTGGGGGTGGCGGCATCCCTGGGGTGGTGAGGGTGGAGCCCGGAGGGCCTCTGCGGAGGGCCTCTGCCACCATGGCTGCCACCCTGGGGGACACCGTTGCCAGCTCCGGCATCTGGGCTATCAGCCCTGGAGGGGCAGGGGGGAAGCCAAATGCGCAGGCAGGCAAGGGATGTGGTGGGAGGGTTCCGGGCAGCTTGGAAGTAAACCACTCGGGGCCGAAGCTTGGGAGAGGGCTCATTGACCCTTTCCCGTCCGTCTTGCACACCTGGCCAGGCAAGAAAGTGACGGAATTATCCATGTCAGGTTTGGAAACAAAAATCGAGAGTATGATTGATGTAGTATGATGTAATGTGACACGGCAATACCGTGTCAATGTTCTGATATGTTCTAATGATTGTCCAGTCGAATGTCTGTTAATTCTGTTGTCTGTTTCCGTCTGACAGCATGGGGAGTTCAAAGGCATTCTTAGGATTTCTTAGGTAGCACGGTAGCACTTACTTTGGGTTAGCTGTCAAGCGCATGGCGCATGGAGCATGGTACCTCTTGCGGCTCTCAGAGACCCATGGAGTCACCCCGGACCTTTTGGTTGGAAGGTCACCATCTTCTCAATCTCGTTAGTCAAACCAAAGCCTCGGCTTGGAGTTTGAATGATGGGATGGGCACGCCGGGCAGCTTGGGCAAGTTGAGCACTGCCTTACATTTTGAACAGCTCACAGGTCACTTAGAACAAAAGGGAAAAAGGTCACTCAAAAGGTAAAACCATGTAAAACCACTGCCCAAAGGAAACCAAAGCTGGCTGGGACTCGTCTGGGCTAGGGACCAGAGCTCCCGCGACCATTGATGACAGGCATCCAGATGGGCTTCGGAGGCGACTTTCCTGAGGGCCGCAGGAGACGCATGGCGGAAGCAGGAGGGACAATGCTGGAAAGACAAAAACTATCAGAAGACTGCAACATGTTCTAACATGTTCTAACATGTTCTAACATGTTCTAAAATCCTTCAACCGTCTTTTCCTGGCACCCTTCAGCTCTTCAGCATCTTGAACCATATTATGGTTACCGCCTTCAAATCTTTCAAAGAGGAACTGTGAAGCTTCTCAAGTTTTGAGAGATGGTCCTTGTGTTGTTTTTCAAAACCTTCTGCGAATGAAAGTGTAAGCACGCCAGAAAAACAAAACTGTGATCCAACGGTGGCCAGATCGTGGCAGAAGGTTTGAAGTGTGTGTCAAAGTCCGCTTGTGCCCCCCTTAGACCCACCAACACCATGAAAACTATCCTGATAGTAGTACGTTTCTTGTCCTCTTCATTATGTCAATTCATTGATTGATTTACTTGACAGTACCAATAGGACTCAGCATGTGGTTCATTTACTCTTTGAATTATGTACAGTTCTGCATAGTTCTGCCATATTTCTTTGGTTGCGTTACATGTCACGAGGTGCTGTCAGTTTTGTGTTTTCATTGGTTTGCTCTTGTTGTTAGACTGCCGTCAAGTCTTGTCTGATCATCAGAAACGACAGCCCTGCTGACATCCCGATCTGAAATTGAAATATTAATTGCTTATTATGTTAAGAACGGACACACAGGATCCATGCCGACCCCAAGGTAACATGACATCATGAAAACATATGCAACATTATGCAACCATGTTCAGTCTGACTCAGCCTCCCACCTTCAAATAACGACCCTGACCTTGTGCGAGGCTCCGGGGTCGTGTCGATTTCATGTCCCATTTGCATGTCCAATGTCTCAGGGTCTGAAAGATCATCCACCCTCGTTCTACATGACCTACTTGCGTGTGCACCTTTAACCGTTTGTACGAAGGAATTAAGGTCTGGATGGATGTTTCAATGCCAAACTATACTCTTCATGGATGTGCACCTTGTCACAAGTGAGCAAAACGTGGGAGTTTTGTAGCAGTTTCCATCACTTTAGCGGAAATAGGTTAAATATAATATTATATATATATGGTTTTATCATAAAACCATATTTAAAAAAAAACAGAACACTGTCTGCACTGACCTTGTTTAGAATTTCAGTTTTATTTTGACGTCTGAGGGACTGGCGCACTGTGCAACAGGGACATGAGGCACAAGTCACCCGGCGACGCGGGCTGTGTTAGGCTCGCAATAAGGGCTGCGGATGGCTGCGGAATCTGCAAAGCATCAGATCTCTTCGTGCAAGATCCATACTGAGAATCGATGATTTTACTCTACAACTCTTACAAGATCCTCTGTTTCGGGATGTTGAATCAATCAAAATTGCCAGAATAACCTGTCAAATCCCCAAGTTGAAGGAAGGAATCGAAAGTAACTATTCACTATTCAAAAATAATCAAAATACATCACCCAACAAAACACACGAGAATATCAATTCAAAATGTCGATCTCTTGGTGTAATAACCTGTGACATCCTGTAACATCCAGCCTTTGGAGCTGTACAAACCAAGGCTCCAGATCCCGCCCTTCAAAACACCATGAACACATCAAAATAAAGAGCTGGGGACAGTGGACGAAAATGGATTAACAATCTGTTTAACAAGTGCACCAACCAAGACCAAAAACCTCAGAATACACACCATGGATCCACCGCTTGGTGGCACTTTGTTTGGGGCACTGTCTCGGGTCACAGGCTGTGTCCAGCGCCCAAACATCACCAGTTTAATCCGGTTGTTGCAAACTTGGACAGCCAAGGCCACAAGGCAACTGCATTCTTTTCAGAATGGCACAAATCTATCCAAAGATGACAAATCCATCAATGCATGTCAATGCCACATCCACATCTCTCACAAAATCCAGATCCGCAAAGAGGCGTTGGACTTGCGATTCGCAAATCGCCATGAGTTTAGGGCGCCTCTAGAATTTTCAATGTTCACTCAGAAAAGCACAAACTGCTCAATGGCACAAGCTTGCGGAGAGCCTCATGATGGTGATGGGAAATTGTTTCTCTTTTGAAGCAAAAACGAAGCAGTCCTGCCACCATCTTCCGTCCCTGCACTTTATCCAGTCGCCGGTCAGGTCGTAACCAAGGCAAGCTCAAAGAGAGCAACGTAGAGTGTGCACCAACGTTTTTGCAAGACACCGATGACAGCGCCAAATGGTATCCTGCAGGTACTGCAGGGTTCTTCTATGATGCTTTTTGTGATCTTGATACATCACAGAAATATTGGCAGAAGCCAGGTACAAACACTACAAGCGCACCAGTAAGGCACAAGAAATGCATCAAACCGCACCTGGTCCTCAGCAGCCTGCTTCAGCGTCCCATGTAAAAAATCTCGAATGGTGTCAATTTCAACAGCCACTCGCAGTCGTCCGAGCGCAGCGTGCCGAGGAGATTCCACAGTGGCTTTCCACAGGGATGTGGGACCCGGAAAATCTGACTGTTCTGCTTGAGGCAACAGCTTCTGCACAGGTGAAGTTGGACACCAAGTATGAATGGATTGGTCGCTGGGTGCTGGCTCTTGGAAGTTCATTATCGGTTTCAAAAGAAAAAAATTGTAAACGAGTAAACGGCATGTCATTTTTGCACGTTCAGGGCGATGGGACATTCAAAGTCAACTGCCAGTTTTGTCCACTGTCAACTCTGGCGAGAAGGTTGCAATGTGCGAAAGGTCTCACATTGCAACCTCCTCGCCAGAATTGAAAAGTTCCCCACCAACGGAAAGGCTGGCATCAGATCAGGAGACCAGTCCCCTACAGCTTTGGGAATCTCACGGGCATCACAGTCGTTTTGTAGCCATAGATTCATCCACAAATCTACCGTGCTGCATCGACAATTCGGCCTTTTGAAACCCTCAGAAGCTACTTCGCTCTGGTTGATCCACAAAACTAAACCTATTGGTTCATCGGATATCATGGGATTTTTAGACGTATGGATGTCTTGGGATGCTTCAGCCTCCCCGAAACTTCGAATTTCTTCGAATTTGAAAGCCCAGCGGCCCAGCCAGAATCAGCGAGTGGCAACTCCACAGCTTGCACTTTTCTCGAGTAGACGCACTGCGAAGCCTGGAAATCCAGTAAACATGTGAAGACTTGGAAAGGAACATGAAAGGAACAAGTATCCGTGTCCTTACATCTTGGAGTGTTTGTGGTTTGATATGTTTGATATGTTCGGCATGCGTATTATTAATAATTTACAATTAACATACTAGTATTAATTGGTTATGTTTAGAGTTTGGTACGAAGAAAGATACATGATCCACGCAGGCCCAAGACTGCAATGTGTTTTTTGGGCTCAAGACTCAAGACCCTGTGAATCCATCTGACTCGGAAGAACGTTCTCATCAAGCCTGGTTCTGGCTGCTACCCATGGCACACGGCAGCAACGCCCGGCCTGCCAACCCAATCATCCCCGAACCCTAAGTGTAGTGGCAGGTGGACTTGCCGGATTTCCACCATTACGAAGTCCTACCTTGGGCACAACAGCTAGTCTCTTCGGGCGGAAGCCACATGCTTGTGAAATATGTGAATATGTTCAGCCAGAGAGTGAAAGCGTCGTGAACATAATATGGACGAATATGTACGATATCATTTTGGACCATTGCAGTCTCACTGAACACTGCAGGTTATGTCTGTTGTTTTTTGTGGCGCAAAAGCGCCTCGGATCGTAAGGCAACTTGATTGCCTCGAAAAAGAAAACGTCCTGCGTGCGAGGCACCAATCTAAGAACCCTGCTCCAGAACCTCTTCCAAGTCAAAGAATGTGGGCTGCAGTTGATTGCCCAAACAGGTTTGAAATGTTTGAAGACCAGCAGGTGTTCTCAAAAATCCGTTCTATGATCTACATGTGCATAGATGGGAATATTATCCAGGCAAGAGACCCCAAACAGTGTGGGGGGGTGGGAGGATCATGTATGATAATGTTGATGATGATGATGGTGGTGGTGATGATGGTGATGATGATGATGATGATGGTGGTGATGATGATGATCATGATCATGATCATGATCATGATGATGAGAATGACGATGAGGATGAGGATAAGGATGATGATGTTGAGGATGATGTTGAGGATGATGAGGTGCACGGGGATGGCAAATGAATAGGTTTTTGCCAATTTACCGTGACGATGGCAACGAGTAAAAGTTTCTGTGTGTAAAAGTTCTTCTGTGTACAAACTTTTCTGTGTAAATGTTTCTGCATGTAAAAATTCTTCTTTGCAAAAGCTTCTGTGTGTAAAAGCTCTCTGTGTAACAGCAGCAGCTCTTGTGTGTAAAACAAAATCTCTTCTGTGTAAAAGCTCTTCTAGGCTCTTCTGTGAAATAGTTTCTCTGTGTAAAAGTTAATCTGTGTAAAAGTTTCTGTAACAGCTGTGTAAAAGTTTTCTATGTAAAAGTTCTTCTGTGTAAAACCTTTTCTGTCTAAAAGATTCTCTGTGTAAAAGTTCTTCTGTGTAAAAGTTCTTGTGTGTAAATCTGTGTGTAAAAACTCTTCTGTAGCTCTTCTGCGTAAAAATTTCTGTGCGTAAAAGCTCTTCTGTGTAAAAGTTTCTCTGTGTAAAGGTTTTTCTGTCTAAAAGCTTCTCTGTGTAAAAGTTCTTGTGTGTAAAAGCTTCTCTGTGTAAAGGTTTTTCTGTCTAAAAGCTTCTCTGTGTAAAAGTTCTTGTGTGTAAAAGCTTCTCTGTGTAGAGGCTCTTCTGTGTAAAAGTTCTTCTGTGTAAATTGCTCTTCTGTGTGCAAAAGCTCTTCTGTGTGTAAAGGCTCTTCTGTGTAAAAGCTCTTCTGTGTAAAGGCTCTTCCGTGCAAAAGCTTCTGTGTGTAAAAGCTCTTGTGTGTAAAAGTTCCTCTGCGTAAAGGTTTTCTGTCTAAAAGTTTCTCTGCGTAAAAGCTCTTCTGTGTGCAAAAGCTCTTCTGTGTGTAAAGGCTCTTCTGTGTAAAAGCTCTTCTGTGTAAAGGTTCTTCCGTGTAAAAGCTTCTGTGCGTAAAAGCTCTTCTGCGTAAAAGCTCTTCTGTGTGTAAAAGCTCTTCTGTGTAAAAGCTCTTCTGTGTAAAAGCTTCTCTTTGTAAAAGCTCTTCTGTGTAAAAACTTTTCTGTGTAAAACCTTCTGTGTGCAAAAGCTCTTCTCTGTAAAAGCTCTTCTGTGTGAAAAGTTTTGTGTGTGTAAATGCACAAGCTCAGCTCTTCCGTGTAAAAGCGCTTGTGTGTAAAAGCTCTTCTTTTTGTAAAAGTTCTCTGCACAAAAGCTCTTCTGTGTAAAGCTCTTCTGTGTAAAATGTTCTTCTGTGTGTAAAAGCTCTTCTGTGTGTAAAAGCTCTTCTGTGTGTGTGTAAAGGCTCTTCTGTGTAAAAGCTCTTCTGTGTAAAGGCTCTTCCGTGTAAAAGCTTCTGTGTGTAAAAGCTCTTCTGTGTAAAAGCTCTTCTGTGTGTAAACGCCCCTTCCCAGAACCGCGCGCCACACTTTGTGCAAGCCTGCGCAGTCGAACTGCACTTGGACATTGCACAAGTGCCACTTTATACGGAAATTTACAGGAAAAATGCCGCAGACCAAAACCGCGCCGCAGACTTTGTGCGAGCCTGCGCAGTCGAAACGGACATCAACATGTCAGAAGAGCCACTTTACACGGAAGTTTACAGGGAAAAGGCCGCCGGACAGAATTTCGCCCGGCCATCTTCAGTCTTGGCATCCGGAAAAGGCGAAAGCCCTTTTTGGAGGTTTCACAAATCGCACAGTTGGGATCACCCGATTCGCAACCAACTCCTCGAAGAAGAAGTAGGTATGACCCACCACGAGTCCAAGAAGGTGGTCCTGGAAAGGGAAATTTTCCCCCAAAGTCGTGTTCGTCGTCGTCTCAAAGTACTTTCCAATCAGCCACATCTTGGATGATCATCATGCACCCCACTTGCTGTCGGAATTCCCCAGGGTTGATGCTGACTCTAGCTCTTGCACTCTTCATGTATCATGAGATTTTGATCCTGGACGTTACCTCCCAGGAGAACCAACGGTGCAAATGATGCATTCTGCGAAAAAAATCTCTCTTAGTTCGGCTTTCTCCACGTGCCTCCCATCAGAAGGGATATCCAGAGAGAGAGACCTCAGCGAGGCAATGTTCTGAAAAGGACCAAAAAATACGGAAAAATAGATTGATTTGGGCCGGTCTGGTATACCATTCATCATTTCATTGTGCCTCTGATGTTTTGGAAAGGTCTACACATCACTCTACGACTCTACAAACCACTGTAAACAGAAATATGATGATGATGTTTCCCAAGTGAAACTGAGGGCTGGCCCCTCATCTAATCAACCAAGCAGTAGGCAAGTAGCCAGTAGGACAAGGCACCCAGGGCAAACAGGGCGTGCGGATGGTGAAAAACAGCACCTGGCACCATGTTTGTGATCTGGTTGAGTGACCACGGGTCGAAAGCCATGTTCAAAAATCTCCCAGTGATCGCAAACAGCACACGCCCTTCAATCACTGGTAGCCTTGGGGCCTTGGGGATCACATTCGCATGACACCATCTGCAACCAACAACTCGTGTACCTGCATTCTTGCCGTTGGAGTCCGCTGGCCCCGAGATATGTCATGAGGTCAATCAGTGCTCCACTCACAAAGTACCTGGCACTGCAACAGGCGTGGAGTGGAACTTTGTTCAAAACTCTGATTAGAAGTTTACAATCCCCGGTATTTGGTATTTGGTCATCAGATTGGTAGGTCAGAAGACTCTCAGGGTCTAGAATCTGGATGTCTGAAGGAATCTCAAAATGACAACCAGCTATCCTAGAACTGGGTCATTGATGAGCGTGTTGCAAGATTCTTTGTCAAGGAGTTTTCAGAGGTAGCGCATGCACTAGTGACACCTACTCTTTCTGTTTGGTGCCTGAATCACATATCAAGCCTGCTGGGTCGTAGCCATAAGCAGGCACTCAGTCCTTCTGTGTTAAAAATCTGATGAGAAACATGGCGCACTGGCTCCCAAACAAGTAGGCCAGCACCACAATCATACCTCTCCACAACCGCAAGTTGTGTGAGTTGCTGCATGTTGCCGCAGCAAGAACAAGAGCCATGTCGACAAAAAGCGCATTTTATGCACAGCGCCTGCGCTACAGACCAGCATCCACAGGTACTCGGCCGATTTTCTTTGAAAGGCCACATCTTCCAGCCAGGAGCAATAGTGTACCTCTGTAACATTCAGGGTCTGCTCAAGATCACTTAAAGTCAAGACCTCACACGCTTTGCAACCGCCATGTCCGTAAAGCAGCCCGACCCTGTTTTCCTCTTGCTGGATGCTGTTCGCATGACGCCGCTGCATCACCTGTCACAGGGATGACGCAAAGAATGCGAAGGAGGGATGATAACAAGAATCTAGGATTCCTAGAAAACAAAATTAGGGGCTCCGCAGTCCCTGGTCCTCTGGTCCCCTGGTCCTCTCGTTCTATTGGTCCTCTGGTTCTTTTGGTCCCCTGGTCCCTTGGGCTTTTGGTCTCCCATCCACACAGGCGAAAGTTGACTCACACACACAGGCGTTTTTGACTCACACACACAGGCGAAAGTAGGGTCACACACACAGGCGTTTTCATTAATGAACCCACAACCACCATGAACATGGGGTGGGGTGGGGTGGGGTAATAACGTTCACTTTCGCTTGCAAACACACGCACTGAGCTGGGGTCGGGCTTTGGTTGGGTGGGGCGGGGTGGGGTTCAGGCTTGTGAACCAGTTCTCCGCTGTTAATAACGTTCACTTTCGCTTGCAAACACACGCACTGAGCTGGGGTCGGGCTTTGGTTGGGTGGGGTGGGGCAGGGTAACCTTCTCCGCTGTTATGCCGGTAGTGCGTCTCGTGCTCCGTTTTGCCCTGGGCTGCCCGAATCCGGCAAAACGGACCTCCCCATGTGGTGTCTCTCTAGGGTGCTTCGTCTAGGCCGCTCAGCTCCCCAAATCCTCCAAAACGGACCTCTGCATAGGGCTCCAATGAAAAATACAATGAAGGGATGAAGCAAGTATGCTACATAGCGACTCATGTACATACATCTGTGTGCATGAATGTAGGTACGTGTGTATGTATGCGTCGCGTCTCTGTGTTGCTGTGTGTCGGTGCTATGTATCCCCGTGTGAGATATTATATATATGATATGATGTATGTGAGAACGCATGCATGCGCCACATACCACCCTTCATCAAGGTCAATTCTTTTGTGATGTATTGTTATGTAGTGTAAAGTTTCACCCCACCCTTCATCACAAATCTATTTGTCCGTAACTGCTTCCCAACTTCCTTTGATGATATGATGTATGTGAGAACGCATGCATGTGCGACCTCACCTCTATGCACACTTCTAGATAGCCAAACGCCACATATGAAGCAAAACGCATGTGTATGCGAACCCAAAACGCATGCGTGAGCGACCCTGCAAAACGCATGCGTAAGCGACCCGGTGACCTCCTAGTCCTCTTGGTCCCCTGGTCCTTTGGTCTCCTGGTCCCTTGGTCTCCTGGTCCCTTGGTCTCCTGGTCCCTGGTTGCCTGGTGCCTGGTCTCCTGGTCCTCTGGTCTTCTGTCCTCTGGCTTCTGGTTGCTTTAGTCAATTGGTCGTGCTGTTTGGTTCTGTTGCACCCTTGACACAAGCACCAACCAGCCACCACCAACAATATTTCAAAACCACAACGGAGGAGCACAGAGTAGAGGAAACAATCCAATAGCAACGAACGCTCTGCCCCAGCCGCCCTCCAGCTTTTTCAACTTTTGCTGTAATACGTTGACCTGGGTAAGCATGGTCGTTGTACACAACACATGCAAGAATTTGGATGCACCTCTCGCTCTGGTTGCTGATATTCTTGTCTTCTTTTTTGGGTGTCTTCACTTTGCGGCTAGTACCATCCAAAATGAATCCACAATGCTGCAAATATATACCTTGCCCAGTGAAGTTCCCGACTGTTGCAACTCCCATACAACATGACAATAAAAAAGGTTTGAGCTCCAAAATGCTACAAATGCCATACAACATCAGAGTTTTTGTCTTCAAACTCCAAAATGCTGCGTATACACTACAAAATTAGAGTTTCTCTTTACTGCAAATACCATGTAAAATTGTAGTTGTCTTTCCAAAATGCGGTAAATACCGTGCAAAATGTACGATTCTATCTGCAAATTGCTGCATATACCAAGCACAATGAGAGGTTCAAACTCCAAAGCGCGGTATATACTACACAAACCTAACCTTAAAATACCTTAAATACTTGTTCGAGCGTCTTAGGTTTTTTTCCAATGTCAAAACGGGGTCTGAGTCTGAGGTTTTTTCCAATGGAATTCAGTCTTTTTTCCAGGTCTACCCCGCGAAGGACAAACCCCAAACTGGCACTGATCTCCCATGCTGCCAACTGCCCCTAGCAAAAAGGCGTTTAAAAGATACCCCTTTGAATTAAGTGAGAGTGTTGGTGTTGACAATTTTATAGTGATAATTCTGGAGACGCTGACCCTCTTTCTGAAAATACATCTATAGAATCAGAGACCCCAAGGTATTTTCAAGTTGACAATCTCTATAGAATTGCTGTCATTGAGGTCGTTTATGAGCATCATTTTCTATACACTCTCGTAGGGTCTTTTTTAGGTTGGGGGGGTTAGTTGGCCTTCTATAAAATCAGACTCCCCAAATATCATTCATTGACAGCTGACCTGAATGCTCCACTTGCTCTTGCCTAGCTTACCTTATGCATTTCCAAATTTATAGGGCTCAAAGGCTCCAAGTGTTCGATGTCAACCTCTTTGATTTTATAGACTTGTGAAAAATGCTTGAAAGATCTTGACAGTTGCTCTGTTTCATTTTGTTTCCATCTGTTTCCATCCGCTTCCTTTTTTTAAATCCTCGCTGCTCTGGTATCTGCCAATACTTCTCTATAGAATTGAAGAACATGACATATATCCAAAGAACACATATCCCACTATAGAATCGCAGTCCCTAAGACTCTCTGCTGACTAGTACTCAGTGCTGTATTCAACATGAAATCTCTATAGAATCAGAGACCCCAAGCTCCTCCATAAAATTGAAAGCGTTGACATTGAGTAGGTACCCCTAAACAAAGCAGGGGTTAAAACACATCATTTTCCAGGACTTAACGTTCCTGATTCTATAGAGGAAATTCCAAGAGGGATTTTAAAAGAACAAAGACCTTTATTCCATTTTATTCCCCTGTGCTCTACGTTTTCAAACTTTGCTCAAGACAGCCGAATGCACTTTCTTGATCTGTTATGATCTATTCATGTTTTCGACCACAACAGAAAGCTGGGCCTCGGCGGGTCTGAATCGTGGCGATCATGGCGAACCACCTGAAACCTTGGACGGTCACCTCGCCGTGGAATCAGGCTGAAATGTCGCTGTAGAGATTCCAAGTGCCGCCGTTCACTCTGCACAGGGGTTCGGATAAGAGTCCTGGGGTACTGCGGCAGCACAGCACGATGGTTTTGGCTTTTTTTTGATCACACTCTTGCTCCGCACTTCACTCACAACATCTGTGGATGATGGCATTGGCCAAGCAAGCCACGCACGCCACCTTTCTTAAGGAATCGGGAGAATTCCCCTGCTGCAACAGGCCAATTGAGCATCAGAAGCTCTTGAAGGATGTGGGCAAAGCCAAGAAGCAGCGGGCGCCGGCGACCCTATGCCACGGAGCTGCGCTAGCATCGGCATGAAATCAATCCTTTCAACAGTCTGCTACATCCAGACTGAAAGGAAGGACCGCACATTCGGTAATTATTAATTTCAAACCTCCACGAATCGAGATTCTTGAGCTATGCTTGATGGACCTCGCAAGCAGCAAACATTGGATATCTTCCGGAAACTGAAAACAAGAACGGAGGTGAAAGGCAATCCTGCATGCACTTACAAGATCTGCGCAAATTGAAAAAGTGCGACAACAAACTCATGGGACCAAGCCCTGCCATGCCGCTGTGCCTTTGTTTCGGGCACCGATTCGACTCTGGCGAACGCACAGGAAGTGCATGGACAACGGACAGTCTTCCCAACTTGGCAGAGCCTTCAGCCAAGACGGTGGTATCTGGAGAACGGACGCATCTGGGAGGTTAGACGTCAAATATACACCGACACTGCGGTCAGTGGAACGTGGGGAAGCTGCCCACTGTCTCCGCCAATGGGTTTCCACCCTTCTCACTGCTGCCTGATATTTAGAGGTAAGTAAACTGATATAAATTGGGTATAGAGCTATGTGCTGGTGGCAGCGTCCAAACGCAGGCTCTGCAAACCTCACTGATAGGTTTGCAAAGAGAGGTTTCCTTGTGTTGCAGGCACAGATTGTAGCAGCGTAGCAGCTCTGAGGCTCGAACTACAGGGTTCGACCACAATCCCTGGTTCCAATCCCTGGTTCAGAAGCTATAGCGGCCAGAAGAGCCGTGTTCCACACGAATTTCCAGGACTATGCTGCAGTTTCTCAGATAATTTTCATGACCCAAGGCACGCTTCATGCGCAACCTAAACTTCCCCCGACCAACCCACATGAAACACTTGAAACACAGGAAGCTGTTTCCGGCGATGACTTCACATTGCATCCACATGCCAACACCCTACAACCAAGTACCTGGCAGTTCTCTTGGCTGCCAGAAGTTACAAGAACCAACTCGACCGGGCCGAGCTGAGCCTCCACTTTCACGCTCACAGAGCCACAAAGTGTTTTGGGGAGTGGGTCAAACCACTCTGAACCCCGTAAGATGTCTTCAGGTTGGGCACGAAGACTTCAATGACTGCAGAGATGGTGATGGTGAAAGACTACTTCGAGCTTTGCTGGACTATGAAGACTCAACATTCAAGCCGCTCCAATTGTATAGATCTCCGGAACCTGGTTGTGAAGACGTCAGAGATAGTGACTGCGCAGGATTCTGCATGATTGCCTGTGGCTGTGCTTCGTGTGATTATCTAAATTGTGGAAAGCAAATGCTTAGAAGGCGCCGTCATGGCTGCTCCAATGTGTATGGAACATTCGTAGCAATTGAACCACTTGCTGCCCCATTTGTAGCGGCATTTTCTTTGTGATGCCCTATTGGTAGCAGCATTAACAGTTTGAATCAGGTACTGTAGTGTCGATATGGATCAAAATAATTCACTGGCACGGGTGACGCTTGGCTATGTTATTTGTACAAAGTACTGCGAGGTGGGGCTTGCTGGCTACAGAAACAAACGCGGACACATCAGCGGAGGTCCCAATTGCGGAACACATCACTTGGTGACGATCAAACTTGAGTGTCGATCGGCTTGGCCGGGTTATTGTATGGAACAGTCATGGTTCTGGCAAAAGTACCAAATGACCAGTCACATGTCATGGAGGCGCATTGGCACAGCTGCTAGCTTCTTTCGGCAGGATGCCCATATGCCATGATCTCTCAACACTGCGTGTCATGTCAGAGTGTGACAGCTCTTTAATGTCATCTTTTTGGCTGTCCCTGGCAGCAAAGTGATGTAAGGATGTAAATTGGGTGTGCTTGTTGCAGATAGTTCCGGCGCCTCTCCACTTCTCATCATACTTTTATTTTTTGACCTGTACAGTCAGAAAACGGCCGTTGCAAGCTACCAGGACGTCAAACACTAAACAGCTCCCTCTCAAGCATTCTTAACCGAACCAGTCTTGCATTCAGGCTCCTTATCTTCCAGTTTTGGCACCAAAGTTGTCAAAGAGTTTGACTTTGACAGCAACCATTGCTCTTGCGTTGCTTCAGCTTCGCTACATCTCGCGGTGGAATGGGGCAATAATCCACCAGCCTCTGTCAAAGCTCTGAGCGGCAATTGTTCAACAATGCATACTACTGAAAAACAATGAAAAACAGATGGCCTTATGGCCTTATAAAATTCAACACCCTCCGTGAGGACCTATAGAGGACCTTAAAGCCTCATCCGGCCCATGCGAAAAGGATTTCCGAATCACAATCATGGGCCGAGTATAAAACGAGAACGGGTCCGGAGACTAATGCCGAAAGCCAAGAACCACTGCAGCTTCTCTTCTGTCTTGAATGGCAGCTCTTAGCAAAGCTTACATATCCCAAAGCCCAAACAGGCTGGGATCAACAAATTCAGCAGAACTGGAAAAGCTCGACAAAGCGGTGACTTTTCAAGCCTTTCACCCAAATCTGCAAATTGGAGTTGCCTGGATTTGGGCGTGTCTGTGTTTCAATCTACCACTTAAGTACAGGTACTGAATGGAGGCTGGCCCACACCTCGAAGTGCAGCAGTTTGCATGTTTGTCAAAAAGCATTTTGCGCATCATCTTGCAAGCTTCCAAGGACCCAAGTTGGGTTTCAGAAGGGTCAGGTCTCACCAAATGCGGCTTGCTTAATGAGGGGCTTGTGCTTTGGAACAAACGGGTTACTTTTTCAGGATTTGGTCATGAGTCATGACTCCTTTGGGCTGATCTTACTAAAACTGACGGAATGAGGGGGAAGAGACATACACAAAGAAGCTAGTCAAGGATTGACATGGCTTGCAAAAAAATGTCAAGTTAGGCCTGCTCCCCAAACCGAGATGGAATTCACGCGGCGGCCAATACTGGCCCTCACTTGGAAGGAAGGAGCTGGAAGCCTGCGGGAAACAGCTGTTTCAAGCACCCGCACATAAAATCTGCAAATCCGTCCGACAAAACGATGCCTCGCAAACTTGGCCCTTCTTTGGAACAGGATCTGAAATCGTTGGCCAACCTCTCACAAGCCATAATCTTATTGTGAGGGCCACGACCCGTTTTAATGAACTGACAATTTGTCTGCACATGCCTAGATGGACAGCATACACTTTGCACTTCCTTGGGTCAAACCTGTGCTAACAACAAGTTTTAACCGCGATTCTCGAGCATCTTGCTTTGACATCCAACATTCGATCAACATCAGGGTCACATGTTGGGTTTACAGGGAAAAATCTGAGACGGTCGCACATGTTATCTCAGCAAGCCTGATCTCCAGGCAAATCGCCAGAAGCTGAGAGCCAAAAAACCCTGCTCATGCAGTGTGTTCCGAAATTCTTCGAGAACGACAAGTTTGCGAGGCTTCGTTGGAGGATGTTGGAGGATGGAGTCGCAAGTGTTTTTCTTGAAGCCTTAGTGGCCTCAGTGGCCTTCATTCTCTGAGGCCTCGCGGCCTCCCTGGGACAGTTTGACCGCGGTTCAAAGCTGCGCAGATTGGAGAGCTCGAGAGCTCTGGGACATATCAACAACGGAAGTATCAATCAGACACCAATAGTTTGCCGATGGCTGAAAGCTGTTTTCTATACCTGACATGTTGAGGAACATGGGATCACAGATTCAGCGCCCGCTCTGGAGCAACCACTGCCATTCAGAAAGCATAAGCAAGCCCTATTTCGTGCAAAATGCAGAAGAATTATTCGTTGAACTCATCAAGACATTTTACATCCAGAACTCCCAAGCCCCCTGCTATTGTGGTGCCTTTCAGGTTTGATGCAACCCGCTCTTAGATTACATTGCATATAGAATCATATAGACATATGAACAGGCTTAATATGGGGGCGACTGTCCAGTCGGTCTGTGGATTGGCTCAAGTGGCCCCCTTCTGTCGCCATTACTCTTGCAGCAGCCTCGCATCGCGGGTTTTCTCTTTGGTGGTGCCTACTCATTGCAAAACTACGTTCGCAAACCTTCACGGCTGGCTGAGTTTTTCGTACATTGTTGCGGCCGGCTGAGTTTTTCATACATTGTTGCGAAGTTAATGCATTTGAGGAACCGTGGTTTTAGTTCGTGCGAAGGTATGCTACTTGAACCGCCCTTCATCCGAAGACTTTTGGGTGTTTGGATGCTGCTCGGATGACTTCTCTCCAGTTGGGAACTGGCAGCACTGGACGACAATTTTCTTGGAAGAAGCACAGTTCGTTTCGTGGTGCAACTGATGTACAACGCAAGCACAGCCAAGGGATCTGGAGTCTATAGAAGGTATCCAGAGAATGCGAGTCCAACGGATATACCTGATACCTTTGGTTTCAACTTGTCAGCGGGGCAAAACACGCCTCTTCCTGCACTTTTTTATCACAGTATACTACGCTTCTGGGCAAACGATGCACAAATATGCACAAATGTCGAATCAAATCTCAATCGCTACGAGTCTGGGATCGAGCTGCTTAGTTTCACCTGCTCCATGAGATTGAGAAAATGCCAAGCACCTGGGGCGAATGTGCCACACCCTTGACACTGATGGCAAAACACTCGCCCGAGGCCGCTGAAAGCCAAACGCTACACCAAAAAACACCAGGTCGAGACAGAAAAATCTGATTACACCCTTACCACCTAAATTTTTGATGAGATAGAAGTTCAGTACTGTGTGAAACACGAAAACAAAACACCTTTCTCACTTTCCCATACCATGACCGTGGAAGAAGATCAACATGACAAATCATGTTGCGTCTGCGAAATCTCGTACTGGCAAAAGATTTCAAGTCGTCTTCAAGAAGCCAATACGCTAAGCTGCAAAGTACAGCGATCAAACCTGCGTCGTGACCAATACCCCAACCTTGGACGATAAGCAACATGGAACAACCGTATCCTGAATTAGGGAAATAATGGCCTCAAACAGCTTGACCTTGTCACACATCAGTCAGATCAATCCTAGCTATTTCACTCACAGATATGCGGAGTAACATCCCATCAGCGCACCAAGACCCAGCTTCCAGCAGTAGGGCAAGCTGAAGGTGCCCAGGAAGAAGAAGCAGGTCACCAGCCTTGAACGAAAAAAAACAGCCATGCCATGCCTCAACTCTCAAAAAAAGGGAAAGGGGCTTGGCCATGCCTCCGTTTCATTTTTGAAAAAGCTGGGGAGGTGGTTTCAACCCTGAAAAGTATGCTCGTCATTGGGGATCATCCCAGTGCGAGCCCGCGCAGTCGAAATGCACATCAACATGTCACAAGAGCCACTTTCTGCGGAAATCTACAAGAAAAATGAAGCGCGTCGAAATATTGAAGCATTGGAGCATCGGTTTAAAGCCACCTCAGTTTGAAGGAACATCGATCCAAGATGCTCCAAGAATCAGGTTCTGTACATTTCTGGACCATGAATGGCCATGTTGAATCATCCCTGAGGCAAAAAGATAGGACAAAAAATGGAAAAAGAGAGAGGAAGATAGACGAAGTCTCTGTGTCCTTTTCAGTTTTCTTACTCAACTTGAAGCAGAAACTTCATCCCAAAACATGTCTGTTACTGTGTGCATGCGGGTGTGTTGGCACCTCTCATCACATTGCTTCAGCGGACTGATATGACAAGGTTACATGTCCTCATGAGCACCAGGTTCCCGACAATCCGTCGAAGCAAGGATTTCGAGTGCCTTTCGATCTCAGACCACAGTCGATCACACACTACCAATGTCAATTTGTAGCATTCCTATCTGAAGATACCGCCGCGCCGCGCCTAAGAAAAAGAAGTGGAAGAGGCAAAGATACAACAACTCGACTGAATACAAACAAAGACAACGAACCATGAGACAAAACCAACGAAATTTAAACAATAATACTCATTCTAATGCAAAAAACAATATAGAGGTGATGTTCGTCTCAGTCCAACCGCGGACTGTTCCGAGCTCAAGAGATGTGGAGATTTCGGAAGCATAAGTCACCATGTGTGGTCCACGGCCGGACCATACCCAAAAGATTTCACAAAAATGTTGCGAAAAGTGGGATGAAAGATGATGAAAGCCAACTGAGCCAACTTTTCCTGCCTTAGCAGGCCACACGGCAAAGGTTTCTGCCGTAGACTGCAGGGGCAACGTTCACCTCAGGTTGCAGGAATATCAATCTGGGAATGGATTTAATATAACATGATTAAACCACCCCTAACGGTCAAATCTTGTGGAATCTGTCTGTGGAATCTAGTCGCGCCAGGTTCCGGGCTGCTGGAGCGGCTCGCGAAATCCAAGGGCCTGTCATCGGTGTGTTTAACTTGAAACCAATATTTCGCTCCACACCACACACCACCATTCGCGACAGGAGCCCATTCACCTTTCAGGAGTTTCCAAACCTCTTAGTGGATTGAGTCTCCATACAATATCATTTCATTGTTCGTATTTCTGCTCATATGCACGACACACACCGTGCACATCACTACGCGGTGCATTTCGGCTCTACCCCGGGAATGCCCGAAATAGCCTCCACAGCGAGGAACCATCGACGCCCTGCCGCATCACACAGGCATCGGCAGCACTGACTGTGGGGGTGGCGGCATCCCTGGGGTGGTGAGGGTGGAGCCCGGAGGGCCTCTGCGGAGGGCCTCTGCCACCATGGCTGCCACCCTGGGGGACACCGTTGCCAGCTCCGGCATCTGGGCTATCAGCCCTGGAGGGGCAGGGGGGAAGCCAAATGCGCAGGCAGGCAAGGGACGTGGTGGGAGGGTTCCGGGCAGCTTGGAAGTAAACCACTCGGGGCCGAAGCTTGGGAGAGGGCTCATTGACCCTTTCCCGTCTTGCACACCTGGCCAGGCAAGAAAGTGACGGAATTCTCCATGTCAGGTTTGGAAACAAAAATCGAGAGTATGATTGATGTAGTATGATGTAATGTGACACGGCAATACCGTGTCAATGTTCTGATATGTTCTAATGATTGTCCAGTCGAATGTCTGTTAATTCTGTTGTCTGTTTCCGTCTGACAGCATGGGGAGTTCAAAGGCATTCTTAGGATTTCTTAGGTAGCACGGTAGCACTTACTTTGGGTTAGCTGTCAAGCGCATGGCGCATGGAGCATGGTACCTCTTGCGGCTCTCAGAGACCCATGGAGTCACCCCGGACCTTTTGGTTGGAAGGTCACCATCTTCTCAATCTCGTTAGTCAAACCAAAGCCTCGGCTTGGAGTTTGAATGATGGGATGGGCACGCCGGGCAGCTTGGGCAAGTTGAGCACTGCCTTACATTTTGAACAGCTCACAGGTCACTTAGAACAAAAGGGAAAAAGGTCACTCAAAAGGTAAAACCATGTAAAACCACTGCCCAAAGGAAATCAAAGCTGGCTGGGACTCGTCTGGGCTAGGGACCAGAGCTCCCGCGACCATTGATGACAGGCATCCAGATGGGCTTCGGAGGCGACTTTCCTGAGGGCCGCAGGAGACGTATGGCGGAAGCAGGAGGGACAATGCTGGAAAGACAAAAACTATCAGAAGACTGCAACATGTTCTAACATGTTCTAACATGTTCTAAAATCCTTCAACCGTCTTTTCCTGGCAGCCTTCAGCTCTTCAACATCTTGAACCATATTATAGTTGCCGCCTTCAAATCTTTCAAAGAGGAACTGTGAAGCTTCTCAAGTTTTGAGAGATGGTCCTTGTGTTTTTTTCCAAAACCTTCTGCAAATGAAAGTGTAAGCACACCAAAAAAATAAAACTGTGATCCAACGGTGGCCAGATCGTGGCAGAAGGTTTGAAGTGTGTGTGTGTGTGTGTCAAAGTCCCCTTGTCACCCCCTTAGACCGACCCACCAACACCATGAAAACTATCCTGATAGTAGTATGTTTCTTGTCCTCTTCATTATTATGTCAATTCATTGATTGATTTACTTGACAGTACCAATAGGACTCAGCATCGTGGTTCATTTACTCTTTGAATTATGTACAGTTCTGCATAGTTCTGCCATATTTCTTTGGTTGCGTTACATGTCACGAGGTGCTGTCAGTTTCGTGTTATCATTGGTTTGCTCTTGTTAGACTGCCGTCAAGCATTGTCTGATCATCAGAAACGACAGCCCTGCTCACATCCCGATCTGAAATTGAAATATTAATTGCTTATTATGTTAAGAACGGACACACAGGATCCATGCCGACCCCAATGTAACATGACATCATGAAAACATATGAAACCGTGTTCAGTCTGACTCAGCCTCCCACCTTCAAATAACGACCCTGACCTTGTGCGAGGCTCCGGGGTCGTGTCGATTTCACCTTCACAGCACAAGGCAATAGTGACATAATAGTTGCCTCGACTTGTCCCATTTGCATGTCCAATGTCTCAGGGTCTGAAAGATAATCCACCCTCGTTCTACATGACCTACTTGCGTGTGCACCTTTAACTGTTTGTACGAAGGAATTAAGGTCTGGTTGGATGTTTCAATGCCAAACTATACTCTTCATGGATGTGCACCTTGTCAAAAGTGAGCAAAACGTGGGTTTTGTAGCAGTTTCCATCACTTTAGCGCAAATAGGTTTTATATATATATATGTATATATACATGAATATTATATATATACATGTATATTATTTATATATATATGTGTGGTTTTATCATAAAATAATTTTCAAAAAAAACACTGTCTGACCTTGTTTAGAATTTCAGTTTTGATTTTGACGTCTGAGGGACTGGCGCACTGTGCAACAGGGACATGAGGCACAAGTCACCCGGCGACGCGGGCCGTGTTAGGCGCGCAATAAGGGCTGCGGATGGCTGCGGAATCTGCAAAACATCAGATCTCTTCGTGCAAGATCTATACTGAGAATCGATGATTTTACTCTACAACTGTTACAAGATCCTTTGTTTCCGGATGTTGAACCAATCAAAATTGCCAGAATAACTTGTCAAATCCCCAAATTGAAGGAAGGAATCGAAAGTAACTATTCACTATTCAAAAATAATCAAAATACATCACCCAACAAAACACACGAGAATATCAATTCAAAATGTCGATCTCTTGGTGTAATAACTTGTTCACACAATGGTTTCCGTTGCTTCAGTTTCCCAAGTCTATTATAGTACATTTGACATTCAACACAAGGTGAAGGCTGCCGCACAGGCGCATACTATTTTTAGGCGTGGTGCAGAGTTTAGGTCAGACCTGTGCACATCCAAAGAACCAGCGGGTCTAACAAGGCACAGCTAGACCTAGAAACGCAAACCCCCAATCAGACACCTATCAACAACCCAATCACCGGGGTATGTTGGGCTCAATCAAAAGAGGCGGGGAGTTCCAATAGCACCAAACCTATCGACAATCGACCAGCCGGAGTGAGAACTCCCCAAAAACTAATCGATGGAGGCACCCAGTCAGCGGACTGCAGCAACCTTTTTTCTCGCAGATGAACATCAAAATGCGACGGCCACTTTCGACCGACCTCGGTAATCTCAATGCCAGACGATTTCAGGAGGTCCATCCAAGGGAACGTCATTCGTGCTGCTGGATCCAATGGCGTAGAAAGAGGTTCCTTGAACCGACTCAACTCATCAGCAAGCACGTTTAGGCGTCCAGGGATATGAGTGATGTGTGGGTATACCTGGTATCTCCGCTTGTACTTGAAGTACGGTATTAGCACCGCAGCAAGGACAGGGGTCATAGTGAGACCCTTGGCAGAGGCTGCATCAGCTGCGCTATTATCCGTGCCTTGTTGGCACGCAATCGTGCCACGTGTTTGGGGTAGATGAGCTTCAATGCAAAAGGATAGGGCAAACTGCGCAGGGCAAACTGCGCAAGTAGCTCCCATGCTGCAATGTGTTTCTGCATGTCATCTCCCAGCCATGGCCATAGCGCCTGAGCTTCGGTCAACGAAATGTGGAGCTGAAACCAGACTGACGAACCATTTGGAAAGATGGCTGCACCGCCTAGACCAGCCATGGAAGTCGAGGCCATGGCATCAGCAGTAGCTTGAACAGGTATCCAAGTTGGAGGGCACATCGACAGAGAAAATGGCGTAGAGACCAGAAGTTGCAGCCATACTTGTAGTGTCTCAGATGCTTCGTCATCGAGTTTGCGGTTCGGTGACGAGGGGTCTGAAATGCCCACCCAAACGCGACGAGATTTGATGTGCATCGACTTGACCTCATGCAAAGCTTTCACATGAGAGTTGGCTACACGACACAGCGTGACCCGGGCGGAGTGATTGATGCTTGTAGGTGAGTCACGTGTTCAGCTGTAGGTGGTCATCCAAGTGCGTAGTCAATGTCGGGAAGGTGACATGGTCCTGTGAAAAAGCGCTGTGCACAGATCTGAAATCAGATCCAACGCTTCATCAAAATTCTACAGGAGTACGCAGGCAAACGCGGACGTCAAACACGATCGCAGAGCATGTAGTCACAAACCTAATTACACTAGGGCACTGCCGTGTCAAGAAACTTGTTTTACCCTCGGCTCCCACATGCTGACGTCGGACTCCTTCTTCTCGCTCCAGACGCAACACGATCAGTCACAGGGAAACAGAAACACAACAAACAAAAGAAAACAGGGAAGAGAAGAAAGGTAATGTGTCCCCTCTGTCGGTCTGTCTTATGCTAAACTAGGTAACACTGCAGCTCTGTTCATTAAATGAACTTCTAACACCACTCCCTTGAGCCGATGTCTCAACTGGTAAACTCGATTCCAGGTTTCCAGTTAACAAACCTCAAGTTCTTCAAGAAAAAGGTTTGTTGAAACAATTCCAGCTGCTACAAATCTACAAATTCACCTAGTGGCAAAAACATCAAAACACTCCCAAAAGTTCTCAAAGCAAACTGGTTCTCATCCAAACGTGAATAACCAGCTAGATAACGCTAACCTAACGCTGACTAACGCTAACCTAACTGCGTTGCTGTTCAAGAACGAAGTGATTCATTCACAGTCTTCTGTACAATGTTCTTCTGAATACAAAACATCGTCGGAACACAAAGTTCCATCTTCAAATCAGTTCTCCACATAGAGATAACATCTCACAGCTTCAAACCTCAATGTAGAACAGAATGTTCTGTTCGACATTCACAATGTAGGTCAGCCAAATACAGTTGTATCGCTGTAGTCTTTCGACCACTGTAATATAGCCAATCCACAATGTAAATAAAGTGGCTTCAGAAGACGATAAACACATATAATCCAGAGTCAGATATATGATCTGTAGATCATGATGACAATGATGTAGGTATTGTCCCCACAATACCGAAGCATCTCATCACACCAAATTCTCAGACAAGTAAGATGCGCCAATATGGCCATTGTCCTCACAATACCAATGCATCTCGTTGTCCCAAAACTCAAAGTCTGATGTGTTCTCCCCATCAGATACTTCCAGCTAATCCAAACTCTTCTCCAAGAGTTTCCAGCTGTATGCTCTCATCACTTGGAGAGATCAAACTGCTCGGTGTCGAAGACACGCTATGAGATCTCAATGTCTAACCAATGTAGGTATCTTCAGTTCAAGCCTGTAGGCTGTACCGGATTCAGGCAGAATCCAGAATAAGGTGTAGAACTGATTAATACACCACATTCCAGGTCAACATCAGTCTTTGACATTCTTTGTGTGTCATAAAGGCTGCAGATTCAAAGGACACGATAGCCTACTCAGAGAATAGGGTGTCGTGGTCAAACTGCAGGTCAAATGCACAGACCTTTCCAACAACATACTGAATGTTGTCTACTATCAATCTTCCGTGCACAAAACTGTACCAAAACGAACGTCCTTCACCGTGACGTTTACGATGAAAAATGACATGTCGCCAACTGTAGGTCACCCTTACAGGTCACCCATAGGGTGATCAACTTTCACACCCGCTTTCGACATGGCATTCCATCTCACTACATTGTACGGATGTTCAATCCAGTATGGACAAGAACGTCCATATCCGAAATGACGAAAAGTATCCATGGTTCCAGTTCCAGCTCACATCAGGAATCCAAAAATAATAATCAGAGAATAATACGTCGCTCTTCCAAAACAAAAGATAGATGATGAGACATCATCCCAAAACTCAAGCATCTAACTCGTACTCAACGTCGTAAGCTTCAAACTCAAAATAGATTCTTCAGTTCAGAGACGAAAGTAAAACGCACGTAACTCCAGTCATGACAATCTTCACGACATACAATGTTGCAAATGCAAAGCCTCGTAACCAGATGTAAGAATCCAGATTCAGTCCACAGACTTCAAAGTCTTTCCAGTACCAAATCTGCCTTCCAACTTCCAGCTCTTCGGATAAACCATGGCGTCAATAACGATAGATCTACGGTGCTGTTGTCATCCTACAACAAACAAAACAACACAGCAAAAACAGAACAAACACACACACTAGATAAGAATGGATCATTGTAGTGATCCGGCAGGAATTGAGTCCTGAAACATGCAACTAGATTAGTTACATACGGATGAACATTTATATATATATATATAGGACTATGGTGACCACCAGCTGCGTCTTAAATGCGCCCAGGAGGTGCGTCACCACAGTCCCGCGGGTACATTTACACGGGTCCCGGGGAGGTGTCTTCGTTGGTCACCGACCCCCCCGCGACCCCGGTGACCCCCGCATATATATATATACATATACATATATATAAGTAATAGAAGTTTTACATCTGTACAGATGTGTCACACACACTTTGGCAGGGTGGTGCCACGGAAGATGAGGTGACGATGAGGATGAGGGGGGAGTGAAGGTGAGATGACCTTGAAGATGAGATGAAAAAATACTTAACCAGGACGCAAAGAGGGGAACGCAAAAGAAGAAGGAGAGAACACCAACACGACACACCTGGCCCGGAGCGGGCAAACCCTGAAAGGGCAAGGGAAAAGAAAAGCGGAGGGTCGACGGACACGGAACAAGACCAGCGGAGGGGGGGAAGGACGAAAGCGCCTGAACCAACCTGACACAGCGAGAACCTACACACACCTCAGCACGCGACGGAACCGACCTATGTGGGGAGGGAAGAACGTATGAGATAGGGGGCCAATGGGGATTAGTTGGTGAAAACACAAAAAAGAAAAACACGACTCAGTTCCAAAATACCCAGGAGTCGTGCATTGTTCCCTTTCCGGGACCGTGGTCAAGTCTTGCCCCCAATTGGCATAAACGGCTTTCAAGTTCCACCGAATTAGGTGCACAACATGTTTCACCTCACAAGACAACCATCAAAAGAAAAAGACCACACCTGATGGATTATGTATCGATCCTTGTTCAGTTC